AAATTCAAGCATCATGAGAACTGTTCTTCAACTTTTTAAGTTATGCGAAATTATTTGAGTTTTAAATGTGAATGCATTTTAAATTTATGTGTTAAAGGTTTTCTTATTTTTATTGAAAAGTAGTATTAATAACTGTTAACAAATGTAAATAGTAAAGAAATTAATTGAATCTTCATTTATTCAATAAAAATGTGTTCTGTTGTATTTTGCCATAGAAATGAAAAGCTGGTGCATTAGCACCTTTAAAAAAACAAAACAAAAAAACTTATTTGGTCTGCACCTACTGCCATTACTGTTGTTCCAACTGTTACCTCAGGACCTTTTTGGACTACTCCAACCATGGCACTACCAATTTAAATTCCAGAATTTAGCTAGCCAATTGAGAAACCAGTGGGAAGGTACCATATCAGATTCAGTTTGAAATCATTTCCAGAATGAACCTGTGGAATATTAAACAAGCCATTAATCTTTCTGCCTATTCAAAGGGACAAGTTTTTGCTGTATTAAGTAACTTTCCAGCTGATAGCCAAAACAATTATCAAGCATTAATAGCTGCCTTATCCAACAAGTTTGGAGTGACACACTAGAAGGAAGTATCCAGAGTAGGATATGAAAGAAAGAAAATACCTTAACTGAACTTGCCAAAAATTTAGAAGGGCTTGCCTGGTTATTTTACCAAGATGCTCCTCATGAAATGATGCATTTGTTGACGTGTGATGACCAATTTATAGATGCCATAACAGATGAGAATATGAAAATGAGTGAAATAAAGTAGGTTTGCATCTTTATATGAGACTCTCCATGAGGCAAGGGAACTAGAATCCATTAATATTGCAGATAAACTACTAAAAGAACCATCTAAAAGTTATAAGAATATCAGATCCTGCAGTATTGAAATGTAAACTCATCCAACAACAGTCTAGAAGAACTGGAAGAATTAATTAGACAGTTAGTTACACAGAATGGAGTAAAAAATATACAAGAAAATAGCTGTTTCAAGTGTAACTTGAAAGGACAATATTGCACAGAATTGTAGATTAAAGCCAGTATGGAATAAGAACTCCTCCCAGAGGATACTAGAAAGAGGGAACTGTTATTATTCTTGGAAACATGGCTATTATAGCTGAGACTGTAAGGAATCAACAGCTGTTATTAAGGCCAAGGATACAATACCCCGAGGATGTGTTTCAGAGTCTAATTAGATTAAAAGAACAACAAAGAGCTAACCTGGCATAGAAAAAGCAGGAATTAATGGATTTATGGGGCAGAGTTCAACTAAAATACTTCATTTACCTGAAATGAGAAATGAAGTTCATTATTTGAAGAAAAATTATCCATTAGTCCCTGGGCTTATTGATGGGAAAACCTTGCAGTATGTTGATTGACACTGGTCCTGCAGCTGCAATTATTCAATCTCATTTGTTAATGAAAGGTGGGAACTTGCCACCAAAGATGAAGAAAGAAGAGGGATTGATGTTAGTAGCAAGTGGACACGAAGTTTTAGTTAAAGGGAAACTAACTGTACTGTAGGAAGCTTCTCTGTACCTCATGATATGTGTGTGTAAGTGACTTAAAAAAAAAAGGCATCTTGGTTACATATTTCATACAGATACATGAATGTGAGGTTAGACTAGCTTCAACTAGCTCCACAGTACTTACCTGACCAGGAAATAATTATGTACAACATGGCAATTATGACACTGGAAATTCAAATTCCAGTGACAACAGAGAAGGTGGTCATTGTACCACTAAGAAGTGAAATACTCGTACCAGGAGTTATTATCAATAAAACTTCATCTACTGATCAGGTTGCAGTAGAACCAAATACTCTGGCATGTCCTGAGGGTATGGAGGTTGGAAGAGGTCTCATGGATGTGAACAATAAAGATGTCAGACATGACTTTACTCAGGAAAGACTAAATGAGTTTGTGATAAAAGGTTGCTGTGATGTTAATGTTGATAAAACTAGATTTCATCTAGGTGACGTGGTATGGCTGAAATGGTTTCATTGCAAATTTCAAGTTAAGTAGGTGTTTAGAAGGGCTATATGTCATACTGAAAAGAATCAATGATGTGGCATACAGAATCTAGAAGGAGAGGCAATGTTAATTCACCGTGATTGTTTCTGGAAGTATTTTGGTGAGAGGATTACCAACTGGGTAGCTCCAGAAAAAGATTTGTAAGAGGAAAGTTGGCCTGCTGAAGAGTCGAGGGTTCCTGCTGTTGAAACCACTTCTCGAGGATCATTAAAGATGAAGCTTCCAATGGACTCATTCAATCACCTACCCAAAAAGAACTCTCCCAGTGATAGTACAGCCAGTGATTACAATTGTAGAGAGGCCATACCATCTGTATAATGTATAACATGGGCCTTGTAAGAGAAAACAATGAAAAATATGTGGCAAATAGACAGATTAGTGTTATATTTTTTGCTAGGATTGTTCAAGGAACTTTGCAATCCAGGAAGGGGTCAGTGTTGTGGGCTGTGATTTCAATGCTATAATTCGAATGTTAGCTAGTAGGCACATGACATTAAGATCAAGTAAGATTGTGGGAGTGGGCTTAGGATGTTTTAGATGATGTCATGAAAATCTAGTAACTTTATGAAGTATCTAGAAACAAGGCTAGATTATAAGTACAAGAATCAGTGTTTTGCTTTCAGTAAGCAGTGAATGAGTATTAAGTCAAGAGTGTCAGTCATTCATTTTTAGTCAAGTGAAGTATTTAGTTTTAATGAAATATTTTGATCACTGTTATGTATTTTTTAATGTTAAATGTGGTATTTCTGTTTAAGCATCATTTGTAAAGTTACTCAGGCCTACATGTTACAACAGTGTACAAGTGAAGGCATCTTGTAGAATCATTAAAGAAGGAATGAACTAATTTGTTATCATTACATGGATTGGATTTAAAATAACCAACTCAACAAAAGAACAATGTTACAACAAAGGTACGAAGCTACAAGTGACTTTATAAACTTCTATGATGCTCATCAGTCTGGCCTCTATGCTTTTAAGCTGCACTTGTAAAACTTTATAAAATTGAAAACCAAAGTAGAATGTGAATTACTCTGTTCGAGACAGCTACTCAGTTGAGCACCTGTATATTTTTGGCAAGATAATTTGGGAATTATCAATTAATACAGAATAAGCTGTTACAATTTTAAGCCTATGCAGTGTAATTAAGCAAACCATGAAAATTTTAAACTCTTTATATTCAGTTAGAAGAAATGTCTCAGTTGCTGCATTGGTTATCTCTTTCTCTCTGTGGTTCCGCTGAACTGGTAGTTGTAATGACAAAATGATAATTTAACACACTTTCAAGCATTTTGTTTAAAACATTTTTCTTTATCATTTTCCTTGACTCGAACAAGCTAGGATTGAAGGTAAAAATGCTACTTAGTGACTTTTTGTCATGTTTAGTTTTCATATTAACAACATTATGAGGAGATTTGGTTTCATACAAAGCTGTTACATTTTATTACATAATTCAGTTTTACAGTACGTATATGAAACATATTGTGACTATACTATAGTGCATATGGCACTGACTTCAACATTAGCCTCGACTAGCTCAATACAATAAAGAAACTTTGTGGTCTTTAAAAAGCTACTTATTTAAATTCTATAGATAACACAACACACAATTTGTGTAGACTGGACAAATGATTTGTATGTGCTGAAAAATAAGAACAGTATTTTATAATTCTGCTGTAGAAATTAATATAGCCAAATTATTAGTACTACATGTACTAATAACAGGCACCTGTAAAGTATATGGTATAAGTCTGTATGATGTTACATGGACAGCTTCTCTACTGATGTTACTATGGTCTTTATATATCCCTAGTTAAGTATTCATACTTTGCAACTTAGAAAAATTGAATGACACATGTTTACAATATACTTTCTTTATATATTTCTTCTAAAAGAAAAAATCAACGATAAACACATTTCATAGAATTAAGCTTAATGTTAGTCATCATCATATGATAACTGTTTGAATTGTACTAGTGGCTTAGACCTTATGAAGAGAATATTGCTCATAACATTAATAGTAAGTAGTTAACACACATGCTGTGTATTATTTAACTTCTGTATAACAGTAAAAATGAGTAATATGTATTGACTGTTATTTGCCAACACATGCCTGCATCTGAAGTATAACAAATAATGCTTTCGAAAACAATATTCTTACCTCTCTTGCACACAATAATTATTCTTCATGCATCTGCTTTTGACATTTTGCACACGTCACTAGCCTTGAACTATCTTCCATCTAAGACACATGTTTTCACATGAATTGCACTAGTACTTGATGTAATCATCATGTGACAATAGCCTTTCACCAATAGGAGGGCAACACATTTTGAATTACTTGCTTGGTGCATGAATTACTGTAATATAATGAGAAAGTTTAGAAGTGTTAGTTCAGACAGCATAAGTTGTAATGTTTTATGAACTAAGATATTGTTTCTTATTAGTAAGTATCTGAAGTAGTAAAATATTTTTACTTTAGAAAAGTTAGAATTATTTAACTTTTGTGTACTGATTGTTTTTGCTTTAATTAAAATTAGTCTTCATAAGTGGTATTTTGAAGAGAAGTAAACATCAGTGTAAACTTGGTAAATAAAGTAAAAAAAAATAAACCAAAGATACTGTGAAAGTGTAAACCTTTTGAATTCATGAACCTTAACAGGACAAGTATTTCAAGTAGAACAACTAGTATGATATTTCATTTTTCTCAGTTTTGTAAATTTGATTTCATAACTTTCATAACTTCCACCAGAAGCATTCAGAATAAAAATTTAATCCTATCGATTTTATACAACAGATAGATCCTTAGTGGACTAACTAGTTGGCCACGTGGAAGTAAAGGAGCAACATTTTAGCATCTTATTTTAGTGACTCCCTCATTGAAGCTTTTCATAGTATCAGTTTACACTCATAGTCAATCATTCAAGAAGCGTACTGATCTTCATTTTATTATCTTTTTTTTAGAATTTTCTCATTGAGTTTACAGAGTTGCCATCTGATGGCATTGGTGATAACAAAACATCAAATAATATAAATTTTGGTGAGTTTGAAGATTTTAACCCTAGAGAAGAACAAGATAAAATGAATGGAAATGGGCATCTAGAAAATGGAGGTTAGTCTCTAGTTCTTATCTTATGTATCTTTTTACTGTTCTTGCCCAACGTTTGTTATGTTAAAATTCCAGTATTGCAGTTTAAAACAAAATTTAATAACAAAAAAACATAACAGCTATAGCAGCAAACATACCTTTAAATGGACATTTTGGAATTTATATATTACATCATCATTGAATTATAATGGAAACAAATATGTGATATCAGATACAGATAAAAAATGTACTTAAATAAATATCTTAAAGTTTTTGTTTATTATTAAATTTTCATTCCTGCCTAAGAAATCTGTCAATTAAAAGTTTACTTCTACATCAGTTACATTTACAGTGTACTATGTTGTGTGAAAGAATAGTTGCACATATAAACAAAGATACTGAAAGCTAATTTGTCCAAATGTTTTTTTAATTTATCAGATGTTAATCCTATGTATTCTAGGAATGCACAATACTTTAAATACTCTGCAAGTTATAAGCAATTTACATAAATATACAGTTGTAGAAACATATTAAAATAAAAATCATATTTATTCAGTAGCATTTTAAGCAGATATACTGTTGGCTTGACTTGTTTACAGTAATAATTACAACTACAAACATATTGTGAGTGCATTTGGAACAGAATTAATTAGTTGAAAATACCTATAAATCCAATTGCATTTTAACCAGAATTTATTTTGAAATTCAGAAGTATAACCAAATGCAATTTAATGTTAAGTAGTCATTTTTAATAATTCATATGTGTATTGATTTGGATAAAAAACAAAACTGAAAAGTTATTAATAAATATAATTGTTTATTTGGCCTTCCAAACTGTATGTATGCTGTTCCTTGGTCCTACTTAAACTTATCTACAACCAGATATTTAACTTGTCTTATTGTGAAAGAACTACTAAAACATGACAAGGGTATTTTATAAGAATAACCGTATATTGCTCTCATTATCCACTTTCACTCATCAGTTTTTTCTGAATAATGTTGTAATGGACATGCTAACAAAAATGAAAGCTAAAATTCCACTTCACAAGAATGAAAATATATTGTTCACATTATTGGAATCTGAAAAAAGTTAGTTAGATAAATTATAATTAGTGTTGTTCATAATAAAAAGAAAACACGATTGTGGTAAAAATTACAAAACAATCTACTTCAGCAGTGATACCACCAAATTAATGTTCACCAACTAAAACTCTAAACACATAATGTTTTGCACATTTTGCTGGAATTATTTTAACATATAACATAAAAATGTTTTGGGACAACATGGGATCTATTGGTCCATCTTGGCTGTTCTATCCTCTAAACTAAATTAAAATGATTAAAAAAAAATCTTAAAGCCAGCCCTTATCATTCTTAAAAAAGAAGAATTAGGGAGGATCTGATTGAGGTGTTTAAGATTGTAAAGGGAATTGAGTGTTGATGCATCATCTTTTTTTTCATATTTAACAGTGAGAATAGTAGGACTAGGGAACACAAATATAAATTTTGGCAAGATAGGAGTCATCTTCAGCTAAGATAGTTTCATTTTTCTAACAGGGTAGTTGGCCTTTGGAATGGGTTGCCTTCGGATGTTGTAGAGGCAGTAAATTTAAGTGAGTTTAAGAAAAAGCTTGATAAGTAAATTTGAGAAAACAATTTGAAAGATTTCAGCCTCTCCTTGTATGACAACGCCTTACATCCCAGGCACTATTCGAGTAACCCTTCTCTGAACCCTTTCCAACAATTCAATGTCTTTCCTAAGGTAAGGAGCCTAAGACTGAACACAACATTCCAAATGTGGCCTAACCTCTTTAGACTTGTATTCAATATTTCTGTAGATACAACCTAAAATCCTATTTACCCT